AATCACTCAAAAACCTCTTTGTTAAGTCCCACTTGGATGCTATAAACCCTTAAAGCTGTAAAGTTATAGTCCTCATAATATAATCAGCAGTCTCCTGAAGTTCTGGAAGAGGTGAATTTCCAGGTTGACAATATATATAAACCTTTCTCTAAATTTTAAATATATATTCTTTAGCATTTAATAACTTTTAGTTTAAAGCCAAAGTTTTTAATCTCTAGTAATTTGAAGTTAATCTTTTATTAAAGTTAGACAATTCTTTACTATATTCTTTAAATCAAATAACTAATTTACTCTATATAACAATATAATTGGTTAGAATAATCTTTTAAAATTAAAGGAGGTTTTACTAAGTAAAGATTTCTTCTAGCTTTAAAAAAAGTTGCTGAGGAGGTTCTTCTGATTCTAATAGTAGCTAAATCATTAAAATTGGCTTAGCAGATCTCAAGATACTTGGAATCAAAAATATAAAAGAACTTTTTTATAATTAGTTAATTTTATTCAATTAAATTTATATAGTTTAGAGTACTTTTACCCTTTAATATAAAAAATTTTTTTTAAATAAAAAGTAACTGCTATTTATAATACTACAGAAAACTCTTTACAAATGAAGCTTTAAGTATTTTATATATCTCTGAGATTTACTCCATCTATGTATAACTTACTTAGAGATGGTTTTTAAGCCAGAAAAATGTTAATATATAATAAGTATACACATTAAAGCTTCTAATTAACATATACAAACATAGCTAGCTTAAGAAAATATTTAAAAGTAATATTTAGTAACTTTATAAATATTAAATTAAAATAGATCACAGCACTTAAAATATAAAGAAACATTTAGTAAATAGTTTTATATTTCAGAAATCTTGAAATTAATAAGTTTAGATTTGAGGTTTTTTTAGTATTATTTAAAAATACAAAAAAAGCTTATTGTTTTTTTTGTATTTTTTTAACGATTCAGCAATCTTGCCTCAACTTTATTAGAACAATTAATATTCTGAGAAATATAGATTTTCCTCCATAAAATTTCTTTCTGCAATTAAAAAAAAAATATATCAACAAAAGGTTTTTGCTGGCTCATCAAGACTACCTATTTTTTTTTAAAAACTTTTTCTACCTAGGTCCAGGCAGAATAGTTTATCTCTTACTTCTATATAAGAGAAAAATAAATACTATATTTATGAAAGAAAAAAAAAATATTTAGAAAGAGAAAAAAAAAAAAAAAAAACATATAAAAGAAGAGAAAAAAATATGTTCTAAAAGTAATTAGTGCTCGGCAAAATCAAACAAAAACTCAATTATCGAGTTTTTGAATCTATCAATTTGTAGTATTGTGCTTCAATTATAAAATCTATTTTTACTCTAATCTAACTTTAAACTTCATGATAGTTACCATAAAGACTAAAGTAAGTTCGGGTTTCTATTAGATTTATATATATACTAAAAAATAAAATTTGTATTTAATTCCCAATATTGTAAATTGATAGATTCAAAAACTCGATAATCGAGTTTTTGTTTGATTTTGCCAAGCACTAAAAGTAATTCTAACATAAATAGACAAAGATGAAAAAAGCAAAAAAAAAAAGAATAAGGTAGCCTTGATGAGCACACTTTGTAGAAAACAAAAAAAAATACATATAATGAAAAAAGAAAAAAATAAAAAAAAAGAAAAGAAAAGAAATATGCAGTATGTAGTTCAGCTATCATAGCCTAGTAAAAATTATATAGTACTGAGTATCAAAGTTTCTATGTCATCCAAAACTAATATACTATATATAATCAATATACATATTGTTTATTCCAAACATGTGTAGAAAAGAATATGTAACTTCTAGTTTCTGATTTGGTTTGTGTAAACACTGTCAATCACTTGTAAGGGGCAAACCAATTTGCTCACTTTTTGTCAGAAAAACCTTAAGATAAAAAAGAGAGTAGGAGGTAGCCAACTTGAAGAAGATGATAAAAGTTACGCTATACAGAATAATATATTTAACTAAATAGCTACTTCTGCCAAGGCTTCCATAGTACTTAACAAAGCTCCAGAGCTTGTTTACTACTTCTTCGCTTGGTAGTACCAGAGTCTTTTGCCAAGGAACTTTTCTTACAAGAAAGACTCTTTTTAACTCTATTTCAGTTATGCCAATATGTAGTGAATAGCCACTAATCCTAGCTGCTACTAGTAAAGTTTTGTAGTATTTAAACATAATAACTGTATAGTTTTTATAAATTAGGCTTTTTGGAAAAGTTAGTGCGAGGGATTGTTAGGAAGAGTTGAAAAAAAGCTTATTGTTATGTTTATTTTTTTTTTAATAAATAGGTTCTGCTTTATTTATTCATATACAGTTTATATTTAAGAATAGCTTTATTATGTATTATAAAGAATTATAATACAGTATAACCTGTTAAAACTAATGTGTATGGTGGACCAAATTTGTATCAGTTTTGACAGGTTATCAGGTTTGAAGAGTAAAATTATTATATTTAATTAAGAGATAGTAGATCAATTTTTTATCAGTTTTGACAGATTATTAGTTTTGGCAATATCAATTTTGACAGGTTATAATGTATTTCTATTGTTTGATATTTAATATTTGATGAAAAAATTATAAATGATAGATAAAAATTTTAATTTTTCTGTTTAAATTAAATTTTATTAAATCATCTTATTCTATTTCTAATACATTAAGTTGTTATTTTATTATATATATAATAAATTCAAGTTATATATATAGTATATATATTAATATAAAATCATATTATATCAGTTATAAAAATAAAAAAAATTGATTGGCCAGTTAGCATATGATTTGCAAAGTGACCAATCAAAATATGATATTCAATTTATATGATTAACTAATCATGAAAAAGTCTTCCTATATAGATCAAAAAAAAGAACATAAAGATCTACAAATTCACTATTATATGAAGTATTTACTTCGTGTAATAGTAAATTTGTAAATTCTTATATTTTTTTTTTGATCCCAAATATCTTGAGATTCACCAAGCCAATTTTAATATTTTAATCACTATTAGAATCAGAAGAACCTTCTCTGCAACTTTTTCTAAAGCTGAAAAATCTTTACTTAGTAAAACCTTCTTTAATTTTAAAAGATTATTTTAACCAATCATATTGTTATATAGGGTGAGTCAGTTATTTGACTTAAAGAATATAGTAAAGAATTGTTTAATTTTAATGGAAGATTAACTTCAAACTACCAGAAATTAAAAACTTTGGCTTTAAACTAAAAATTATTAAATGCTAAAGAATATATATTTAAAATTTAGAGTAAGGTTTATATGTATATTTTTACAAAAATTAAATTTAAATAATTTTTTTATATAAATTTATATATTAAATTGAGGTGAGTTAACTCATTTAATTTATAAGTAATAGCAATACAAACTCTTATATATAGACATGTCCTATAACTGATAAGTGATATTTTTTTTTAATTTGCTCTGGATTTACAACAGCACCTGTTTTCCTAGTTAGGCCACTCCAAATTGATTCTTTGTTTAATATAACATAAATATTTTTACAAGAGAGGGGGGAGGGGGACGGGTAAAAATAAACAACAACCCTAAAAAAGCAGCAATTCTATTGGCTGAACAAAATGTAAAAATTTTCAAAAGCTAATACTGCAATTTGATTGGCTAAATAGTGTTTATTTTATGTCTAAAATTTTAAAAAATAGAGGGGTTTATGTTAAACATAGAATCAAATTGGTATAGCCTTATACTAGCAAACGAATTATACTAAATTATGCTAGCGGGGACTGTGAGAAATGCACCAATCAGATGATCTACACGAATCAAATATCAATACTGCAATATTCTTAGAAGCTGATTGAAATTCTTAAATCGTTTATTCTGAAATATTTCAGAGTCAAATTACATTGGATTTTGTCACATGTGATATTTGAATACAGAAATACTTTATTTAAAAATATTATATATACAGTATATATATAGTTATAATACCTACTCACTACTTATTAATTGATTAATTCAGATTTTCACACTTAACTAACAGATAATGTAGTTTGTAAAAACTGAAAAATGAGAACACATGCGATTTATAAAAAAAGGACGAAGTAATGCAATTCGTTTATAAAAAATGAAATACATGAACTACTGTGGTTATATATCGATATCCTTTTCGTCTTCCCAGTAACCACGTGAATAGGAGAATCTACTGCTTAAATCTTTTGCATGTTGGGACTATTTAGAGGGTGATTATACAAAGGTAGATTGTTAAATTCGGAAAATTTTTATCAATACCAATTTTAAGATGTTAGAACATAAAAAAAACACTTTTTTTGGAACTCAAGGAAAATCGTGAGTTTTATCTGCTTAAACTTTCTATCTGTCATGACATTTCTAAACTTATATACGTTTTATCGACAGCCCCTGGTACAGGTATTTCAAAATTTTAAAACAACTCTTAACGCCAATTTATTTGTGCTGAAGTCTGTCCGCTTCATAGATTGGATGGCAAAAAATTTGATTGTTACATAGTTGGAGTCGCCGGCGGTAGTGGAAGTGGAAAAACTAGTGTCTCAGAGTACGTACCACTTTTCGTTCGTGTCTATTTTTCTCGAATTCCATAGATCTTATCACGAATTTAACCGAATTTATTTATAGGCGAATAATCGCGAACTTAAACGTACCATGGGTAGTAGTTTTAAGCATGGACTCTTATTATAAAGTTTTAACGCCCGAACAAAAGATCGAGGCTTTAAATAAGTATGTCTATAGATGCAATGGGGACACGACCAATTCTGATACGCGAATTATTATACTTATTTTTTTATTATTTCAAAAAGCAACTATAATTTTGATCATCCTAATGCCTTCGATTTTGATTTACTATTAGAAAATTTGAAAGATTTAAAAGAAGGGTATGAACTCATGATTTATTTATTATTTTATTTTTTTTTAAAAAAAAAATTTATTTATGTAGTTGCTCAAAAATAAAATAATTGTAAACAATTTTAGAAAGAGGGCTGAGGTTCCGATATATGACTTCGTGACACATTCTCGGTAAATATATAAAAGTTATTGAATCTAAGTTGTTTAATATTGTCATTCTTTACTTACTAAAAATGTTTAATCCGAAGACTACCTCAAACAAATACTTTATATGGTGCAAATGTCATTATATTTGAAGGCATTTTTGCACTCTATGATCGTAGGATTACAGATCTGATGGATTTGAAGGTCGTCAAGTATACACTATTTACAAATCACTATCCCTGCAATTCATTTGCAAAACATGATATTTGTATTAAAGCTTAATATTTCGTTATAGATTTTTGTGGATACTGATTCTGACATTCGGCTTGTTCGTCGATGTATTTTAGAATTCACTTTTGAAATTTTTTTTTTGATTTGATAATGCACAGTATTAAAAGAATTATATAAAAAAAACTATTCAGTGAAACGGGACATCGATCAGCGTGGCCGTGACATAAATGGTGTTATACAGGTATTACGTAAATATTAATTTGATTTGTTAATGGTGAATTATAAGTATGGTCATTTAAATATCTTTTGTGTATAGCAATATCTTAATTTCGTCAAGCCCGCTTTTGATCAGTATATACAGCCTACTGTGAAGAATGCAGATGTAGTACGTGCTACCTTTTTTTATTTCATTTTTAACTTTTTCAAAAAAAAAAAAATTTATAAATGCTGATAAATAAATTTTGAATTATGTAAAAAATGATCATACCAGATAATTCCTCGTGGTCTTGAGAATTTAGTGGCAATTGACTTAATTACTAAACATATTCAACGACAACTTAATGAACGTCGTTATAATTTTCGGTGGGAGCTCTTGAAAAAAATAGATTACAATGGAGAACTGCCAAAAAATGTAATAGTGCTCGACCAGACGCCTCAATTGAAGGTGTGTTTCATATATTGTTTGATATTGTTTACTTGTGATTTATAAATTGTTCTTAAATTCACATAATTTCATTTCATAGGGCATACATACAATTATGCGCGATCGTGACACGCAACGCGATGATTTCATTTTTTATTCAGAACGTCTTGCAACTTTAGTTATTGAACGGTAATATGGTACTTGTTTGTTTTTGAGCTGACAATTATGACATTTTAAAGGTTTTTTTTTTAATAATTTTAGTGGTCTAGCAGAAATTACTGTCAGAGATCATAAAGTCACAACCTCACTTGATATACCATACATGGGCAAAAAATGTGATGAACAGGTACTTTGCTTTACCTTATTGCTTATTTTTTGTTTATTATTTATGCGTATGCTTAAAATTGGTAATGAAATGTCTATTAGCTTTGTGGCGTTTCCATTCTTCGTGCTGGTGGAATAATGGAAGTTGGTCTCCGAAGAGTTGCTAAGGATGCATTTATTGGTAAAATTTTAATTCAAACCGATCCGACGACTGGTGAACCACTGGTATTATATAAATATATATGCTTTTTATTATCATTTTATTTTATTTTTTCTTATATTCATTGTTATTAAATAATGCTTACGTTTAAAGCTTCATTTTGCTAAACTTCCGAACAATATACACGATTGTTATGTTCTTCTTATGGTAATAAATATTAAAGAAAAAAAAACTGGTAATCGGATAATTAATTAATGATCTGAAATCAATTCTTTGTTAGGATGCTCAAATTGCGACTGGTGCAGCAGCGTTGATGGCTATTCGTATTCTACTAGATCATAATGTGCCCGAGGTATTTTTTTGAAAGTGATTTCGTTCTGGTCTGGCGCGTGTACATTTCACAAGTGATTCTTAATAATTGTTGAATAGGATCGAATTATTTTCCTGACACTTCTCGCAACTCGCTTAGGTAACTAAAATATTTATTTTTTATAATATAATTTTTAATACATATTTACATGTAAATTATTTAATTTCATTAATTTCTTCATAGGACTTCATGTAATTTCTAATGCATTTCCTTTGGTCAAAGTATGTACTTCAATGATCGACCCAAAAATAAACGAAGAAACTTTATTTATTGAACCAGGAGTGGGCAATTTTGGTGGTAATATATTGATTGCATTTACCTCAAGTGTTACAATTGAACGTGAGACTCCCAATTAACTATTTTCTACATTTAGATCGGTATTACGGAACATAATCATCTTTATTTGAATGATATTAACAAAAGAATTAATAACTAAATTTGTTCTTATTTAAAGGATAATTGACATTTATATTCATTTATTAATAATATGTGTAAACTTTTTAAACAACTAACAGAAAATTTATTTTTGATATCATCGTTTTTACTAGCTGATCATATATAGTGAACAAAAGAAAGAACCAAAATGTCCGTCTTGTGAACCGTAGACCATACTGTGTGATCGTATATTTCAATTATATTTTTTTAACTATATTAATAATATATATCGCTAGAACAGTAGAATATATCAGATATGTACGTACCTACGTATGCGTATTTGTATTAAATATACATATGCATTGTTTAAGGGAAATCCCTTATTTGATGATAGAGGTGTCAGCTGATATTTTGGAAGGGGCAAGATAATTTCATTAGACTAACATGATTGTCTCGAGAAATTGTATAATTCGGAATTTAGAATTTATAAATAAAAATTCTTTTTTTTTTTAAGACATTTTTAGTATATACTAGAGATGTTGATTTCACCAATTTCACAATAGCGGTGAAATTATTTCACCACTCTAATCTTATTTCACCAACATCCTTAATATATGAGTGCTGCACATAAGGCATTATACTATAAAATATTTTAAAGCTTTAATCAAAGTATAATGCCTGATGTGCCCTTTTCCCTTGGCGGCACTCATATACTGTACATATGGGGTTGAGTCGATAGAAACCAAGCAAATATTTTTTAACTTATTTTAAAACTTTAAACAAGAATAACTTAACAAAAACTTAACCAAATTTAATAAAAAAAATTTTTTAAATTAATTTTGCAAATTATTTATAGAATTTATTTAAAAAAATTTTTATTAAATTTGGTTAAGTTTTTATTAAATTAATATTATTTAAAATCAAAAAAAATTTTATTATAAAATATTTGCTTGATTTCTATTGACTCAACCCTATATCTTGAAATCATAGGCCATACAAATTAATCTTGATATAAAAAAGCGACGGACCAATAGTATAACTTTTTTTTATAAGTTTATTAATAACTTTCTATATATTAAGAGAATTTATTAGATTAGTTTAGGCTTTAATTTTCTTATATCGAAAATTGTACTGTAATTGGTTTTCATAACCCAATATTACATATATGAAATTCACAAAATTTTTTAAAGAAAGGTTTTCATGAATGAAGAAACAAACATGCTTGAAAACAAAATCACAGCGAAAGTAAAGGTACTAGCATGAGTCGTGGAGGCGGCACTTTTAGCTTGATTGGTAGCAGAATTACTGGCTTGCGGGGAAGTTGAACTACTACCATTGGTTGGGCTACTACCATTGGAAGATGAACTACCACCAGTGATTGTAACAACACCATACATACCATTTTCACAGCGTCCGGGAAAATCACAGATGAAAAAGATTTGACCACTATCCTGAGTAATTGTGTAATTAAATACATCCGGTTGAAATGTGCCATTTGATGGTGCAGGTGGTGTTGCGGTTGAAGTATAATTGAAGCCTCCGGCTAAAAAAAAAAAAAAAATTTTTATTACAAAAATTAAAATTTGTTTGTATAATTATATGAAATATTTCGAATTCCTGTTTCTACGCTATCAGTTCAGAGAGGTATACCGCCATGAATAATATATATAGAGGCTATATTGAAATTTTAGCTAAAAAAGGTTCTTTTTTTCTTTTTTTTTTTTTTTTACTAAGATAATATATTTGAAAAGTGGTTACTTCAATGATATGTTGTTAAAAGTGAATAAAATTGATATTGATAAATTTAGACATGTTATATTGTATTTGCTTATATGTAAAATAAGGTTAATTAGCTTTAATATAAATTTACTAAAGTTTATATCTTAGGGATTGGGCCCGGGTAGAAATTGTTGCTATATGATTATCCGAAATACATAATAAATTATCCGGATAACCCAGGTAATTTAATAATACCTGGGTAGGGATTTCTCAACGGGTCCAATCTCTAAGCCAAATAAACCTCTATATGTATTGTTCAGGGTCCTGATATACCCTATTCCTAATACTATCATTTATTGCAAATTATCTCATAATAAGCAGATTTTCGAATAAATAGTTCAACACTATTTTTTTAACTACGGATTAGCGAAAACTGAATGCAATTTTTTACCGTAGATATGAGATTAAAAAGAATGCGCTAATTCACGATAACTGTAGCTCATGAATTTCGGCTCAATGAACTACCTTTGCTTAGCAAATAAGTACAATGCTAGTTTAAAGACTTACGTGTTGTATTATTGCAGGAAGCCAAACCAAAAGGGCCATTAGATTGAACCACATCGCTCTGTGCACCAACGAATATAAAGCTAAGCTAAAAAACAAAAAACTATTGAATTGCTAGTTCTTGAAATAAATCATCAAAGAAAAAGGATTAATTTAATACTAACAATATCACCCTTACTCGCTGTAGAATTTTGAGGATCAAATGAAAATCCAGATTTGCCAACCAAGATTTGAACAACATTAGCATGGCTGTTGAAAACAAAGATGGAAATGACTAAAAAGATCGCTATTGTGCGGGACATTTTGATTATTTTGGAAAGGTATAAATGTATTTTTAAATTTACGAAATTGATGTGGAAAGGGTTGTAATTTTATACTAAATAAATATTTATTACGGAAGGCAAAATTGCATAGCCAGCAGAGAAAAAATTAAGTACTAAAGGAGTGTTATTTACGAAAATTACGGTTGAGCAAACTGGTTAAAATCGAATTTAACAGAGACAATTACATGAACATTAAATATGTGCATTGACACTTTCCTGAAATGGAATAATTATATCGAGTCTTCCAGAAAATAACTATTTTTGACATTTTTAAATTAATTTCACGTTTCAGAAATATCAAGTGAAACTATATTAAGATTTGAATTAATGTAGTATGAAGATCATATACTATATAAGAATAAACATTTCAGAAAGGCAAAATAACACTGGATCTTCATAATAAATTTTTTTTAGCAAAGATCTTTAAAATTAGGATCGCTTAAAGCCAAATATATCTTGAGATTTCCTGTTGCCTACGATCAATCAAAACTGTCAGGGATCTCTAGACTTAACCCTAACTTGACCCTAACCTTAACATTAATAATTTTTAATTAGCTTTGTTAACTCGCTACTGTGATTCCCAAATTGAGTAACTAAGCAAGGTCGATGATTTTCTTTTTTTGCTGATTTGAAGATCTAGGCTTAAATGCATGATCATGAAGATTTCATCATTAAAAATTCCGAATCGTGATCATTGGATGATTTGATAAGTTTAATGGTGCCTGTAAACTTATAGGTTCGGTCAATGATCGTTACAAAATTTTTATCATTGTTCTAGAATTAGAACAGTGTAATAAGGTTTATTGGACATTTTGAAGGAACAGACAAGACACGAGCATGGTCATCAGGAGGTTTCAGTATATTTATAGCAAAGCAAATTCTCGTAAAAACATAATTAAATTGGTTTTTTTTCTTATCAGTTTTTATACAGTTACCAGATAATAAACTACTGATAATAATTGTGTATTATATAATTTACTGGTAGTTAGGCGCGTCCCAATGTCTGTGCTTAAAATAGCTCGATACATTGTAAATTGGTCGCGCAACCAAAATTCAGCAGATCGACCAATTCCGAGACAGAAAATGGATCAGAGTTGATAATCCACGCGCTAAATAAAATTGCCCAGACACTAATTTTGCTATAATATACAGTAGTTAGTTATTACTATTGATTAATGCCGGCCTAACTCTGATGCATTCCAACCTAAACTTTGGCCGATTTTCTGAATTTTAGTTTGCAACTAATCTATCCAATTTGGTCGACAAATTGGATATCCATAAATCGCATGATCATATCATATTGGGATTTTTGCTATGCGAGACTATAATTTTACACTGAGATAAAAAAGGTAGGTTAAATGTACTGTATAAACCCAAAATATATAGAAATTATTTGAGTGCTATTTGAGTACTACCATAAGGAAATGAAACTTCGGACTTTCAAGCTTATCATTTATTATTTATCAAATTCTGGGGACCGTCTAAAGCCGGGTAGTCACGTGACACAAGCCACAGTGGCGGTGGCTTGTGTTACACAGAGTCACATGAC